TAATTTGCTTTTAGCTTCATTAGCCAATAACCACCGCTAGAAAAAAAAAATTGCCAGTGTCAATTACGAGAACTCCAAGGGTCAGTGAGTTTATGATTTTTTAACTGCACACGACGCACATGATTATATGGAGAGGTTGTAACTGTGATTAACCCCAGGCCTCTGTGTGTAACAATTTAGCATGCACTTATGTGTTGAGCATACTTGATGAAACATTGCGTCCCTAAATGATAAGCAGCTCCATCCCAAAGAGACCTGATGGAGTGAGAAAATGCTCCCCTGGCTGAGTGAGATGGAGCAGAGCGTTGGGTGGTCACGCCTTGTCTGCTTATGACAGTGGCGGGTTAAAGAGATTACACCGGTCTGTTTTCAGCAGCCTTCGCCTTCCACACACAAGGAAATAATGAGGAGGGACATGCTTGGCCTGCTGAGGAGAAAAAAAAGCAGCTAAAGTTTGAAGCACAGGGTAAGGAAAAACAGATTTTGAGTATGTTGTTTTACAAGTTGAGGTCAAAAAAGTTAGTACGAGGAGGGTGGAAGACATCGCCACATGACTACAGGGGAGACAAGAATGCAGCACTTTCCATTAGCCATGAGTCCTCCCGTCAGACTGGAAACACTCCACTAAATCTCTCCTGAGATCTTTCCTCTCTGACTCTGTGTGTTTCTGCTTCTTTTGAAGGTTTGAGTGACGGTCCCTTCACCTATAAGAACACAACACGGACATCTTCACTGCCTCCGAAGGAGCCACTGTAAGACTTGATCATCATGTGGTGAGTTTACTAATGTGTCTGCTTCCTCCTCTCTGTCTCTCATGGCAACATAGAAAGCAACATGTATAACCATCCTGAGAGGGGATTATCAAGGAAAGTGAAAGAAGCACTTAAAAATAAATCATTTCCCTTCAATATCCCTACCTGGCCTTTATTCCCTCATCATGATGCACATATATATAGTACAGTTTATAATCACTCTTCTCTGTCAGGAGATAAGAAAGCATCTCACATGAATATCTTCAATTATTATTTCATTGGCTCATGGTTTTGGACATCTTTTCACTTTTCAAAAATTGCACAGATATTTGATAACTGTAAATAATTAAAGGCTTTCAAAATAAATAATGAGACTTTATATGAGTGGAAAATTGTTTTTGTAAACTTTTTGTTGGCTTTTCAAAAAAAATTTGGAGGGTCTCAAGAAGATTTCGGTGACTTAAAACTTTTGTTTTGCAGCAGAATTAAAAAAATATACAAATAAAACAGTTTATTTTATTTTGTTTCAAACTGATCTAAATGTGAAAACAGAAGCTCCCTGCACAGATCCTCAAAGCAGACACTCCAAGAGACTATCATGAAATGATACCTGTTGCTATACCTCATAATGTTATAAATATATTTATTTATCTGTGTATAATATGCATTTTGCAGAATAATGTATTTAGATTTTTAGAAGCTTTTGTGATTATTCTCTGACATAAAAGTTAAGCAATAATTAATTATAATAAATCACATGTTCATGAGAGATAATATAAAACATGTAATAATTTTGTAAATGATACAGAAAAAAGTCTGGATGTTTCCTCAGCCATGACTGCATTACACTCAGAGATTTCACACATTAAGCTATTTTTTTGTGAAATATTTCTAACAACTCCTCTGGGTCAAATAAGTCTCATTACCATGAGGAATCCTCTCTATGCTTTGTGGAATAAAGAGGTGATAATAGCAGCACTTTTATTCCTCTAAATGACCCGTGAATATTATTTTACCTGTGTTGAACTGGGAGGACGCGACCATTCACGCCGGCACAATGGGAACAGCAGACCGTGCGTAAATTGCATCTTCATTTGCATTCCTCGTCCAAAAATCATGCAAATCTTAATGAGACGCTCTCCATTGTGGCTGTAATTGAAAAGCCATTCTTTGTTAATTACTGTTTCTCAAAGGCCTTGTCCGCAGTCACTGAGCTGAAACAAAAAAAGTTATTGATTCTGGAGGTCGCGGGGTTTAAAAACGGACACAGAGGAATAATGTTGTTTATTGTGGCTTTGAGATGCCACTTTCGATTGTCGGAAATATCTCTGTCCTGTTTGGTGCCGTGAAAATGAAATAATATAGCCTACAAGAAAAAGAAAAAAAACACTTGTACAGGCAGGCAGTTACCATAAAAACGAACACGAAGAAGCAATAAATCACAAACAATTATTGGTTCTTTATTTACTGCAGAATCGCAGAGTCTGGACGTGTAATATCAAAGTTGTGCTTCACAAAGCTGAAGCTGTATTTGGACATGTAGAGAACGGAACTGATTAAAAAATGTCTCTTTGTGGTGTCAGTTAAATTAGACTACAATTCCCATACAGTTTCTGCAAAACGTACTTTTCTGTATGTTTTATTCAAGGCCCAGAGGCCTTTTATTAAATCAAAACACATAGTCTTTGATTCTTAACTCACCTAGTCAGCAAGTAGCCTATCATGCTCTGTCGACCACAAAGTTTAATTTAAACAAAAAAATACAGTTTATTATAAATGAAATCTTTATTCTAACGAAATGTCCTAACAATATGTATTTTTTCCTCAAGACGTTTGGGGTGAAATGTCTGCTTTCAGGCTTCATGCACATGCGCAATTAATCTATTTTAACCCACTGAATTATCCACGATTGAGCTGATTGCACGCAGGTTCTATCCTCCCATCAGGACGTCCACATATGTCCCAACATTCATCAGTGTTGTCCTCCCTCCGCGCGCACAGGGAGCCTCCTATAAGGTCTGTGGGGTTTGCTGAAGCTGAATCCGAGCAGACTGCGCTGGTGGTCCCTCGCTCCTTAATTAGGAAATTAGCTGCACAGAGGCCCTCATTACCCAACTCCGGGTTACTCCTGGTGACGTTTTTTTTTTCTCTCTTTCTCTCTCTCTCTGCTACCGGTCCATTTCCATAAGAAGATTACAAGCGGATCAGTATTGAGATGTGGCCAGATAAACAAATAACTGCTCCCTGAGAATGGATGGCTGCTAATTGGACGTTAGTTTTATTGCTCCTGCTCGATGTGCGACGCCCCATTGAACGTGAAAATTAAATTCATGATGTCTCTTTTCATATGATCTACTGCAACTATATGGCCGATTGGCTCTATCAATTTAAGATAAAGGCAGCTTTACAAGTAATACATAGAATCTCTCTTAGGTCGACTTTCAGCCATAAATAATGTCTACAAAAATACACTTTAATCCCAAAATACAATACGCTTTATTTTTAGTGTTGGACGTTCATATTCTAAAATGAAAATGGAAACTCTTATTAATGCTTAGCTGCAAAGAAGAGCAACAATGACTGATTTTGTGACTCATTAAAACAAATAGAAAAAATAACTCAAGACACTCATCAAGCACTAGAATTAGCCTGTCCTGACTCTGTGTTTTTAAGTTGTTGTTTTTTTCTTCTTTTTAAAATTGGCTTTTTCATTTAAAGCTTTTCTTTCTCAGTTGTTTTAAAGGTGAAATCGCTAAATAAGAATGTGAACGTCCCTCAGGTGGACGCAGTAGCTGCATGTCAGGTCTTGGCGCTGTGGGAGCTGAGACACTTTAAAATGCACATATCTCAAAGTGTTCCCCGCAGAGCTCATGTATATGCTGAGGTGTTAATGGTGGCTTTCGGTGGGCGATCCGCTCGTGGTCATTAGCAGGTGTGAGTTTTTACCCTGTTGGGCTCTTTACCGAGTTTCAGGTCGTTTGTAAAGAGACACATGCAAAATACAGACCACTCCACGGTGATCATTTTAATAACCATTAACAGCACCGAGAGAAAACAAGTCCGCAAACAGGAGCTCGAGGTTTGATCGTGAAGTGTTTGACCCACAGGGAGCTGCTGGAGTCGAGACTCTCCTGCTCCTCCGGGATTAAAGAGATGTTCTGTCCCCTCCACAAGAGGTCGTTGATGCATTAGAGTTTTGCTTTGTGGGAACCTCAACGACACGACAGAAACACTCAGGAAACCAAAAGTAGTTCAATCTCAAACCTGACCATCACTGTCTTATTTTTTAATTTGAATCACATTTAGGTAACTTTATAGATAATGAGATTAACATCAATATATTTATCAGAAATCTGAATGTCATTTAATGAATTTAAGTGGAGTCTTCGGTTTTGATTTCAGATATTTTCTCACGTTTACTTTGTGAGAATATTCCTTCAGTGGAGCTCATTTAAATTGTTGGACTGATTTGATTTCGCCACAAGTTAAAAACTCTGATCAGAACATTTGCAATCCAAACTTCCGAGCAGGTATAAAAATAAAAATAAATCTCATTTTATGAAATATGTATCCTAACGGCTGTTCACCATAGGATTGGTAATTTTTTACATCATGGAAAATGTATTTGATCAAAGTGTGAGCAGGCTACTAAACATCAGTTTTACAGCATTTACGAATCACATATTTTTTCCCTCAGCAAAAGGCACCGTTTACTCCACTATTCCTCTTCTAACCTGAAGCATTTACGCTCGTTTTAAAGTCTGTTTTTTTCATGTCTGTTTTCCCTCTGTAAATTATTTATTGTCATCCATCCCTGAGACTTTTGTTTCTCTGCAGCATTAAATGTAGATCATGGTTTAACACGGACTTCACAACTTTGTTTGCATGGTTGGCTCATAATAGTTCACTCAGATTGTAAATGGACAGGAACATTTTAAACAACATATTTTTGGTTACAATTCATTCCTAAAATATTTTTTTATGCAGTCAGGGAATGTGTGTTCATTATCAATGTAATCAACTGCCTTTTCATCTTCTCACATCATATATAGCTAAAGGAAATCTCTCACATTTTGCGTTCAGGTATCTGTTTTAAAAACTTGAGCTCTCCCTCCTCCTCCCACCAAAACACAGCCCTGTGCGCTCTGGTGGATCTGTGGAGCTGCGCTCTGATTGGTCGTACTCTCCTCATTGTCATGCTGTCAATCCACATCACATGGTCCGACCACCAGGCCTATTAACAGATGAGCTTGGCGAACAAGTTTAGACTTCTGTTGGGAGCCGTGCGGGACAGAGCTGTACTGAGCCTAGAGAAACCTGAAGCACCTGCACTCTGTTGCCTCTTTGGGAACAACTTTTTTTTTTCCCAATCGTATGAGACTGGTCAGTATCTCTACCTCTTTGACTTCTGGCGCTGCTTAGTGAACTTTAACTTTTTTTTTTCTGTGCCTGTGAGTGAACACTTTTGAGAGAATGTATAACATGATGGAAACCGAGCTCAAGACCCCGCTCCCGCAGTCCAATTCGGGCTCGGCGCCGGGCGCAAAGAACAACAGTGCCAACGACGCAGAGCGCGTAAAGCGTCCGATGAATGCCTTCATGGTGTGGTCCAGGGGACAGCGGAGGAAGATGGCGCAAGAAAACCCCAAAATGCACAACTCTGAGATCAGCAAGCGGCTCGGTGCGGACTGGAAACTTCTGACCGACGCTGAGAAGAGACCGTTTATCGACGAGGCCAAGCGTCTGCGTGCCATGCACATGAAGGAGCACCCGGATTATAAGTACCGTCCCCGCAGGAAGACCAAGACCTTGCTCAAGAAAGACAAGTACTCTTTGCCGGGGGGTCTGCTTGCGCCTGGATCCAACGTCGTCAACAACTCAGTGTCTGTGGGGCAGAGGATGGACGGTTACGCGCACATGAACGGCTGGACGAACAGCGCGTACTCCCTCATGCAGGACCAGTTGGCTTACCCGCAGCATCACAGCATGAACAGCCCGCAGATCCAGCAGATGCACCGGTACGAGATGGCTGGGCTCCAGTACCCCATGATGTCCTCAGCGCAGACCTACATGAACGCAGCCTCCACGTACAGCATGTCCCCGGCGTACACACAGCAGACCTCCAGTGCCATGGGACTCAGCTCCATGGCGTCTGTTTGCAAGACCGAGCCCAGTTCCCCCCCGCCGGCCATCACGTCCCACTCTCAGCGGGCGTGTTTGGGGGACCTGAGGGATATGATAAGCATGTACCTGCCTCCCGGCGGGGACAGCGCGGAGCACTCCTCCCTGCAGAGCAGCCGGTTACACAGCGTCCACCCGCACTACCAGAGCGCAGGGACGGGCGTCAACGGCACGCTACCCCTTACACACATCTGAGAGACAAAAAACAGACTCTTAAAAACTTTAAAAAAAAAAGTACTTCGGATACTTGAACTTTTTTGGTTGCTGTAGATACAACGTTCAACAGTTTGTTTTGTTCAGAAACAGTTTAATCTTTGTTGTCCATTTTGAAAAAAATGACGTAGAAATGGACCAGAGAGTGAGCGTTGAGCCCGTCAGAGTAAAGAGGCGTTTTATCATAAGTATAAAGCAATCAGACATATGTAGAAGAATTTGACTTCTATATTTTAATGAATGCCATATTTTCTCTCCATGAAAAGGCATGTGGCCTCGTTCAGAGAGGCTGGCGTATTTCAGAAAAGCTGGATGGAAAAAAAGTTGCTTCATAAATGTTTACACTTAATTTTTAGAATGTCAGTTGTCTTGACTTTGTCCAAATTTCTGTAGTCTTCTCGGTTTTTTTTTCTCCTCCTCCTCCTCCTCTTCCTCATGACATTTAGGTTACAATGGAACGTTAAGACTGTGCGGGTCGCAAACGCAAGTTTTATTTATAGTAAGATTGTTTTCTTTTTAGCTTGTGAGCCCGATGTTTTGTCACGTGAAAAATGTTCAATTTTTGTTTTGTAAAATGTTATTTTCTGTGATGGTTCTGACAGTGTCATGTTTACTCATTCTCCTGAACGAAAAAAAAGGTTTATTTAAACTGACGTTTCTACATATTTTAAGACCATCCTCTATTCTTAAATGCTGAATAAATTTGTACAAAACATGATTGTTGACTCTGTGCTTTGATTGTTACATAATTAGCTGCTTTGAAATCAGGTTGTTTAAAATCTCTGGAGTGCAGTTTTAATCCCAAGGGAGCACAAGAACTGAAAAGTGATGCTTTTGTTGTTTAATCTGTATAGATCTCCAAAACACTGAATCACTCTCTGTTATTTTAGGACTCTTAATTTGATACTAACATCTTCAAAACATCAGATTTATCTTCATGGAGAGGGCACTAAAGTGATTTTAAAAAGTCTTGTTTTTTAGTTTCACATGTCTGAAATAAATAAGAGACTACTATAATTTACTGTTCCTGTGTTTAAAAAATATCATGAATATTTCAACATCTTAAAATCAAGAATATTATGAAAAAGTTCTCAAATAAATGTATTTACAAGCGATTTAGTTTGGCAATAGCAAGAATAAAGATTTCCTTTTTGCTATTAGAATTAGTTTTTAATTGCTTCTGAGAAAAAGAAAACTTTAGTTAATTGTGTTAAGTTGTTATACCTTTTTCTCTAAAAAAGTCCAGTTCTCTCCTTCATTTCATTATTAACCAGCTGAACACAGACTTACACGTTTTAATCACAAGTTTTCATCACTGTGTGCCACCGGTCAGCCTCAAAAGTGTGTTCACGTTTATCACCAAGAGTGCGGTCTAGACCTCATTTTTGTAAAGTGACTTTTGTCACTTTGAAAGAAAACATTTGTTCTGAATTGGTGGTAAACCAATTAAAGGTTGAATCACTGATTGATCACAAGATTTATGTGATAAATATCTGAAAAAAAAAACACATTCAAGAATACAAATAATAAATCGAACAAAGAAGAGAGAAACATCTCTGATTTATAAAAATGAGATTTAAAATAATATTTTAAAAAAGACTTCTTCATTATACCCCCAAACTTATCTTTTGGCATTTTTTCTGTACTTTTCAGTGCTGTAGGATTTCATATGTGAGACTCTATATTTGGAAAACACTCTAATGAATTAATATTAAGAATGTAATTAAGTTTTCCCTATTCCATATTTGGCATTTTGAAAGGAATTTCAACATCCAGATATTTAATTTACTTACATGCACAGACAAACCCTTAACGGTAACCATGAGGGTATTTAAATGGATGAGCGCCACAGCGACTTCTCTTCACTAAGTTCTGTCTGTTTAAATGCATTAATGACTAGAGAAACTGAGACCAACATAGTGGATCTTTTTTTGAATTAACACAAAAAATTGCACCACTTTCATAAACTTCCTCATCACTCACAAAGTGGCTGAAATTGCAAAGGTGGATGTGTTTGTGTGTAGGTGTGTGTAAATGGAGCAGCAATGCACCTCAGCATAAATAAGCTGTGGCCACCAAGAGGGGCCGAGGCAGTGGCGGTCCCGCTGGCCTTCCCACACTCCCTGCAGGACCTGATCCACGGCTCAGCACAGCGGCCTGGATTAGCCCCACGCACCTTTGTGGAGGGAAAGCTTATCCAGACCTCCCTGCATTCACTGACAGGGTCTTAAGTCATTCTAGCGTGCCAGCAGCCACCCGTCACCTAATCACACTCTCCAACTCATTTTTTTGTAATTAAGCAGCTTTTCTTTTTCCTGCTTCTCTTTGTCAGAGGGTTTGCTGTGGACTGGATGGAGTAAAGCATCAAACTCTAAAAAAAAAAAGATGTAACCTCACCTGCTCAAATACACCTACCTGTAGGTTAACTTTCCACCCATCAATCAGTCCAAAACAACTTGATAAAGCACTCTGTTTGATCAGTTGGAAGGGACGCTTCACATACATAAAAAACAAAACCCCAAAACAGCCACATATGGACAATGAATGAAATGAATACTGATAATTAAGTAGACTGTAATATGAACAGACTAAATACCACAATAAAGAATCAGTCTTGATAAAAGGATAAAATGTTGTAAAAAATAGATTTGATAACAGCTGAGTTTTTTGCTAAACAAGCCATGTGAAACTTGTATGACATTAGAAAAAGTTAGTTTATTGTAATGCATCTTTTACTTCCTGTTTCTGTGATTTGGCACAGCAATGTCACCCCTCATTTGTGGAAAGGTGTATGTCCGAGCCATGCACGGCTATTGATTGTGTTTGAATGTTCTGGCAGTGAGGCCATCCGACTCAGGCTCCCCCTAACCACCACTGCCTCCCCCCCCTCTGCTCCCATCCCCCCCTTACTCTCCCCCTGCTGAGCACCCGAGGGCCTCTCTCTCTCTCGCTCTCTCTGCTGTCATGTGCAGCTCTGTGCCCACTCAGCAAGTGCAGGCATATCCCACTTCCATCTGCCTATGACCTCACAGCCCCTGTTTGTTTAACCCCCTCTCCAAAAACTAACCTAATTATAGCCCTGTAGAACATGGATTCAGCGGATTCCGACTGGGTTCTGCCACCGTGTGCACACCTACACATACGTGCAGCATAAGCACGGCACCGTGTTTCAGCCCATCCTGTTTTTCACATTTTACTCTCCTCTATGTCACAACATGCCCTGCCAGTTGCATGTTATCTTAAGTACATGAGAATGAGGTGGTAAAAAAAAAAAAAAAAAAAAAAAAGAGGTGTTTCTTATTTTGGAGTGTCTCCTTTTTTACGTCAGCATGATGAGTGGAAAACTCATTACCCAAACATGACGTTGGTGACATCACTAAGTCACCTGCTCGACTGGCTGGGTGGCCTCCTGCAGGAGGACACACCTGATTCTATTCTCAACACTTCTCATGTTATCTGTAGCCTGTGCAGAGCAGACGTCACCCAGCAGCATAGTTTGAGTGTAAGCGGATGAATGAGTGCATAGGGAATGCACCTATGACAGAGGCAGACTGTATTGATCTGCTGTGGCTGGGATCTCCAGGAGGCCCTCTGAGGCCAGCCCTTAGGGGACCTGGAGTGGCCCTTCCGGCTTGGTCGGGCCCTGTCCAGAGAGTAAAGGGACTCGTGTGAGGTAGTGAGATTGACAGCAGAGTCAGTGCGGTGGTCATGTGTGTGTGTGTGTGTGTGTGTGTGTGTGTGTGTGTGTGTGTGTGTGTGTGTGGAGGTGCGGGGGTTGGGGTGGGGGTTAATCTCCCTGAACTGGGGCAGATGTTGTTAACGAGCTCCTCTCAGGTCGACTCCCTGCGTGGGAAAGTTGCATCAAATCCTCCTGGGGTCAGGGCTTCTGGGCTGACCCAATGAGAGCCATCCCTCTCCACTGCACCGTCCTCTCCTCTCAATCCCTTCTCCACTCACCCACCCCTCCACTCAAAGGGGACACTAGAAAACTCACATTTGACCATTTTTTTTTCTTCTGAGCACATCCCCAATTTTCCCTCTCCTCTCTTGAACACAGCGCCGGCGGACTTGTTGCGTGATGCAAATGTCTCATTAATGATAGCTGTGGTTGGATAGTCATGCCTTACACAACCACAAAGAATGCTGAGTGGGAAATGCTTCAAAGACGAGCATACCGCCACTCAACAAACTGCATCCGCCCAGTAGCAAGTTACTTGTGCTCATGTAGATGGAAGGTAAATGAGTTGAATTTAAGGCCTTATAGACTTTCAGGCGCCAAGCTGCTATAGGGTAATTGAGGGTGCAAAAGTGCATGAGAAGTGAAGGAAAAAAAGTATGTCTGATTGGCAGAGTTAGCAAAAATACACTTTACCCAAGCTGAAGTACAGATACTTGTGTTAGAAAATACCCATGTAAAGATAGAAATATTTTATACATAAAGGGTAAAATAAAGTACTCAATGTACTCGTAATGTCAAAGTCATCTGAAGGGCATCTGTTGTGCAAAGCTAACTGAGCATAGGTTCATATAATAAACATATGATGATTATAACTTTGGATGAATTTAAAAAAAATCTGAGATTAACAAAATTAACTTCACCACTCCTCTGGTGTTGAGGGGTGCCAGTGGCCCAGTGGTTAGGTTGCACCCCATGTATGAAGACTGTAATCCTCCAAGCGGTAAACATGGTTTCAAGTCTGACCTGTGGCTCCTTTCCTGCATGTCATTCCCCAATCTCTCTCCCCATTTTAATACTATATCTACCGTCCTCTCTAGTAAAGACATTAAAAACCCAAATATAAAATGTAAACAACAACAAGGGAAACTTCTCCAGTCTTGAATATTCCTGTTGTTTGTGAAGTCTGAATGCGTCTTATGCATTGTTTTCTTTATATTACGACTGCTGTGCTTGATATGCACTGGATTCATCTCTCTCACTATATAAATGTCCAAAGATGATACTTCTCATGTGCATTAAAACTGAAGTAAACAATCTGTTTCTAAATAAAAAAGGTGTCGTAAGTTCCGATATTTGTGTTCAGGTAAAAGAGCTAAAGGTAAAACGATGTTTAAAGGAATGATAACAAATAAGAACAGATAACAGCAAAACTTTACTTTGATACAACCAAGAACTCTGTGGCCTCCCACGTCTGCTGAAAGGTTTGTTTTTTCTGGCATTTGCTAAAACATGTGCTCTGATTTGATACAAACGATTTCTGCAGATACATATAAAAGAAACATTTGTCACAAGTAATAATAATAATATGGTGCAAGTGTAAGTGTAAAAAAAAATGAAAATGAAAATGAGTCCTTAAAACTGAAATGATTCAACATTTGGGGACGAGATTTTGCTGAGAACTGAGTCCTTGATGTTGTTCGACCTATGTACAGACTATAAATTCTGTACACACGCGAGTTAGCTGTGATGTGGCGACTTCTCATCACTCATATCCGGAATGGGCTCGTCTCTTTCACATCTCGTGTCAACATGCCTGCTTTAGGCATTACCCTGACTTATGGTTTTAATGCGAGGGTCATCCATTAAGGTGTCTGCCTCTGACGCTGTGTTTACTCTGCCCCAGCAGGTGTGTGTGAATATGAGACGTGTCAAATATGAGACAGGATTACCGCCTCTTTTGTCCCAAACAAAACAAATACAAATCACACGAACAGCTGAATTCTGTTCTGTTCTGGGTCTGTTTGTTTAGAGAGTTTTTT